CCAGTTCTCTACTCTCCGACTAAGGGGTGGGGAGGGATGCAGGCACTGGGGGAGGGGCAGAGGGAAGGCTGTGCCACATCCACATCATTTTCTTATTGCAATATATGTGGGGGGGGGGTCTCTGAAATGACATTTTGATTCCCTTGCTGAAACACCTTCATTTTTTTAAAGTTTATTAATTTTGAGACAGAGTGAGGGTGCTCATGAGTGGGAAAGGGGCAGAGAGAGAGAGAGAGGGAGAGAATCCCAAGCTGTCAGCACAGAGCCCTATGTGCGGCTCAATACCTCGAACCATGAGATCATGACCTGCACCAAAATCAAGAGTCAGATGCTCAACCGAACGAGCCTCCCAAGTACCCCTAGAACACCTAGAGTTCATAAAAAATTATCAAAACCTGATCAGAGAGGATGAAAAAAATGTCCCCCAGAAAGCTCCTGTAGAAATGTAACAACAACGACAACCCCAAATTTCTTTCAAATTGAAGTTTGGGAAAAGAGACATGCTCTCTGAGAATGATCAGTGCTGGTTTCCTGCCCTCCGAAGGGGGTCAACAATAAAGGAGGTTAAGTCTAGCATTGAGCCAGCTGCTTAAATACCCTTGATCCTGGAGGAGGAGCCCAAGGGGTTCTACCAGAAAATAGTTCCGGCAGCCCCAACTTCATGCCATTGCCTTTCTGTGAGGCTAGTCTAATTCCTGTTCCTGTGACGTCACTAAGCATCCTCTAATCTGTGAACAGGGCAGTGTGTGAAACCTAACTCTTTGTACTATCTATGCCAGGTCTGGGGTACAGCTGGAAGGAAGCTGCTTAAGATAATGACTTCAAAGCAGGGAAAAATATCTGATTTAGTCACTCTTACAGACTTCTCCCCTACCCCTCTTATACTATAATGATAATGGAAAATGTATCCTGGGCCTGGAAATCATTGAGGTACTGCCCTTACACCTTTCCTTGCCTGGCTAATTTCTACTGATGTTTTAGAATCAGGTGAAGTGACATCTCCTGGAATCCACTCCCTTCACACCCCATTTGTAAATCCTTAGACTAGATTAGGGGTCATTTTCTTTTTTTTTTTTTTCCCCATTGTTTTCTATGAGATCCCACACTGAGTTGCAAAGTCATCACTGTCTTCCCAAATTTGGGCCCCTCCCTGTCCGTTTCATGGTGTATTTCCATTATTAGGCATAAGCCTCATCTCTCTCCAAACATGCCTTACTAGGTTCATGGATAATATACCTAATTGTGCCTTAAGGTAGGGATTGTGATGTCATATCAAAACACATGATAAGCCAGACAATCTACACCCTAAGTCAAGCTTACTGACTTTTCTTGGTGTTCATTTTCAAATCTATTAAAGTTCGGATACTTCTATAATTGTTTGCCATAAAGGACTGGGGTGACGATTAGAGCACATACTGTAGGTAGAATGCTTTGTCAAATATTACGTGTAGCAATTAGGAAAAGAATACGTATTTTGTCATCTTTTAGATTTTTGTATCTCTGTGTATCGTGCAATCCCACAACATCCCTATAAGGCAGAGACCAACTGTTTTTCAGACGAGGACACATCTGAGTTACAAAGAATCTTATGAACTTACCTAAGGTCATGTGGATAATAGTGAAACTTAGATCTGAACCCAGGGCTTCTGATGCCTGAGCTCACACGCCTAGCCACTGAGCTCAGGAAACAGATTCAGCAATTTAGTGGAACCTGTTTCCAGTCTTTGTTCTCTCAATTCTATAATGCAACGAAGCAATTTACCCGATGTACTTCTCAGGAAAGTTCAACTTGATCCTGCCTTTCTGCCTCTCCTAATTTTCCACACTCATACAGACCAATTCCCGAGGATGCCTCTTTACAGGGGCCAAGAAGTGGAGTGCAAAGTCAGAAAGTGGTTTCCGTAAAGTCTCACACATCAGGAAAAGACGGCATCCTTTAGTTTGTGAGCACTGGAATTGTGGTCCGATATCTGGAAGTCAAATCCCAGCTCAGCCGGTAAGGTAACACGCCCTTGGAAATCTGCTCTGCTTCTTGGAACCTTCATTTTTTTAGATTTTATTTTTCCCCTCATCTCTAAAATTGGTACAAAATCCTCTTCTTTTGAACATTAAAAACCAAATGAGTCAACGCATGGGAGAGCACTTTGCAAGTTACAATGAAACAGAGGTAATTATTACTTTTCCAGGAATGCAAAGTCTTTGGCCAGCACACCATTTAATACGTATATATGTAGAAAAAGTCAACAGAGTTAATTTCCTAAGCATTATGAGCAACCAAAGGTCCAGATTGCTGCTGGAGGTTGGAAACGATTCAGTAGAATGATTGTTTAAGTCTGAAAGTATAGACAGAGCAGGGACATTGAGGAAGAGTGATGACATTCCATTTAGCGGAAAGTACAAAGTGATCTTGGAGGCTTCCCAGCAATAGAAGTAGGACCTCCCAAGAGAGACTGGGTACATTCAGTTCATACAGTGAACCACCTTACTTAAAACCTACCCAAATTTCAAAAGATAAGCATCGGAGCCTATTTGAATACAGGGAGTTATTTTAAGCCTGTGATTCATTCCACACAGCCCCGTCTCTGGGAATCTGGTACTGAATTTGGATCAATGGGATCAGTGACAGTTCCACTAAATCATCAACCTGTTATGCCAGGGATGTAACTCAGAAAAAAGCAACAGATATATCTCCTCAATAGGAAAATGGAATAGACTTTAAATATGGCACAAAGTTTGGAAGATTTGACTGCAATTCTGTGTGTGCAAGTGATGGAAAGTCAGAGGTTAAGGAGACAGAGCAGTGCTGTTCCAGGTCTGTGGACTTTGAGAAAACCAAGCCACTCTGAGCACAGGTTCAGAATGACAGAAAGGCAGCGTAAGATGAAAATGAGTTTTTAAGTGACATTACAAAGGAAAGATGACACTAGATAGCTATGTAAGTGGCCTTCTGATGAATCACAGGATTAAAAGCTGAAGAACTTAGAGCCAAGCAGCGTCCTGGCAGGGATGGAAAAAATTCACCAAGTTTAAGAAAAGTTGTAGAAAGGAATTTAGTGGAGTTGTTTGTTTTGTTTTGTTTTTTGTACGTTGTTTGGAGCTTCTCAAAAGGGAGTGAGGACAAATGAGCAGTAGCCTGGAGACTGGCCATTTTCTTAAGAGGCAGGAACAGCTGGGAAGGTTTTAGCAACATGAAAAGGAACATGTGCCGCTTACAATTGCATTTTATCCTCAGTTTACTAGGAAAAGGCACACCTCCTAGATCGGTAGTCTTGGATGAACTAGCTGTTCCTGCTTCTATCTTCCTGGACAGCAGTAATAAACACACACCTTAGTTCCAGATGGAGAAACCAAACTGGTTACCTTCACAAAGCTAGTGGTGTGGTCCAGGGAATGACCACCTCAGGCCAAACCTGTCTTTTGAGGTCTGTGGGGTCTGGCATGTTTTTAATGTATTTCTCCTTCCTATTTTTCAATTGCAAGATGCCTCAAGTGGTATTTCCCACATAAGTCCTTGTCTGTTTAATGCCTGTTTGCACATTCTAGCTCTGACCTCCTAAGCGGCAGCTTCTAGTAAGAGACGGGGATTGAGGTGAATTGTACATTGGGTGCCTTTGAAAATGTGCACTAGCCCTAGGTTGCTTCTCATGTCATGAGGTAGAAGTACACTGGGTTTGAGAGGACAGATATGAACGCAGACTCAGTGCATGGACTGTAAGGAGAAGGGAGCCATAAGGCCGTGTTTCAGGCAGGCTGACTGGATCCTGCCTCATCCTTGATATATGTATAAGGGACCCTGACCTAAACTTTTAAACAAGTATGATTTCTTCTATAAACCAACCAAAGGGATACAAAAGAGGTGATTCTTATCCAGGAAACTCCCATTTCTAGGTTTGCTTAACTGAGATTCTAAATACACTCTCCCACTCCCTTCTGCGCCTCGGTTGCCCCTGTTTGCACGTGGAGATGTTTAGACCACAGCATGCCTTCAGGTATGCAGGTAAGGGATCTAGTTCCACAGGACTGAGGAAATAGCAAGGCCTATTCGTGAACCCTCTTGAGAGCCTTGCCAATAGCCAGCTAGCAGAACCCTTTTCTTCCATTCCGCCCAAGCTCTCTCGAGCAGAAAGTTAAAACCACTGGGCACCAACAAATCCTTTTATGGAGACAGCTATCGGAATCTGTTCAAACCATCTGCTTCTCTGGCTGTTTTTCCTTCCAGTGTTTTTCCTTCATGTGTTCTTTGCTCACAACAACAACAACAAAAATCTAGTCTAAAATAATCAAGATGTTAAGACTGAAAATGCCAGAGGTATATATATCCAGTTTAGGAGAGAAATTGCTTTCGAAAGAGGAGTGAGGTTTATCTTGTGTGGAGGCAAGCAACATTTCCACAAATATTATACTTGCGCCAAGAAAACAACCCACTACTTTCATTAAAAGACTGCGACAAGATTTGTATTTGTTCATGTAATTGCATTTAATGCTGCTGAAATCTGTCAGATCTGAAAGCTATTGCAACGCAGACAGTATTTTTACATGGAGGAAAATTAGCTGAGACATCCTCTTTCAGCCTGGAGCAGGGCTTCTGCTGACCTGAAGAGGTGACAGGTCCGTCATTTCCAGAATGTGCACAAGGTCTGCCACCGAAGAGCACCTCCTGGAATGTTTTTTTGTTTTGAGAGGAGGAGTATGCGAGGTGGTCAGTGTTTATGGAGACGCCCTGCTAATGACCTGCCCACCAATTCACTGTTTTATATTTGGCGTCTGTGGTCTAGATGTCGGTGAGCTAGATTAGCTACCCAAAATTGTGGAACTGGCTATGGGTGTTTTCATTTTGGCCAATAGTTGTGCAACTGGTTTTTCCCTCCATATGGTCAAGTAATGCAAATCTCAGCTATAGCTCTCCCTGTCAGATTATCTTAACAAACTTCAGATTTTCAGCAACCCCGCCGGCCCACATTTAAGATGTCATGAATATGCTGCCCTTTTCTGTCTCTCACCTGGGTTCACCTTGGTTGATGGACATATAAATCTCCCAAGAATTCTCTTCTGGGATGGCGCCATGTGGTATGAGCAAACTCACCCCTAAAACAGAAAAAGTCAAGAGGTTATCTGTAGAGTTTCTGATTATCCTGAAGCACTCAGCTGAGCACTGTGAGGTGCTCATACAGACACACAGCACACAAATATCACAACAATTTATGAAATCCTGATCGTCCTTGGGAAGTTTAAATGGAGAAATTGTGGTTTCCCAACAGTGACATAAAAGAGGACCATGTTATTCGTCTGTGTAGTCAAGTTAGTTTTTTCGTTAGGGCCTTCCAAGTGTTTTTAAAAATTCTCTTAAAAGACTGGGTGTCCAGAGACCAGGCATGAGCAAAAGTATCTGAGAATGTAAGAGTTGATCAGTGTATCAGTTAATCTGTTGCTAAATTTACAAAGGTATTGCTGTGTCTTGTCTCTATCCAGTCACTTCCTAAAACGGTGTCTGAGATGATGGGCGAGCCATCTAATGCTTTGCGAAGGCCTGGTATGAAACTGTCTTAGAATTATGCACCTTAAAGTAAGTTTAAAGAGGCGATCAATGGAGTACTGCCTTTTGTCAAGAAAACGGCAGGAAAAAGGAAAAAAAGCATGGAAAAACTTAGGGACCCTGTAGGTTGTTGTATAGCCAGTATTTGATCCTATGTTTGCAAACAGAAGCTAAAATAGATGACAGGTAAAAGGCGATGTAACCATATTCACATTGGTGTCAAATCGGAAAAGACTCAGTAGCCTAACTTCAGTAAAATCCCATCACCCAGGCCCAGGAAGGCACATCACACTGCGCTTGAAAGGGCCCCTTCTCTCCACTTGCTTCCTGTGAAGTCACTATTTCACACTGGCCGAGAGAGGGGAGTCCCAAGAGGGCAGAGAATCTCTTTAACGTAGCTTCTTGTTTATAAAAAGAAATGAAATAGGGGCACAGTAAGATCACAAAATAAAATCTCAGGGCATCCTCCTATTCTTTGAATAATGCAGTTCTCACTTTCCCGCCCTTCATTAGAGCTAATGTAATTGCACAGAAAGCTTTCAGGTTGCCGATGGTAATTTACATCCAGAGATGGCAGTCTTTCCTGATAGCCTTCTGTGTGCCTGTTCGCCGAGGCAGAATCAAGGAATGCAAGGACTCGTTGCAAAACAAGTTATTTGTGATGAACATTTATGAGCATTATTCAGTAACATGCTAGTTATCATCAGTATCTTTTGCCAGCACTAAGAATGAGGCACGTTTAAATCTTGCTTACAGCTTTTCAGCAAGAGTATCCATTTATATGCTGGGCTTTGATGTCCATGGAACTGTAATTGCCATACTTAGAAGCCTCTGATCAGGTTCCTCTTTTATTTCCCATCCTTTTTTCAAATGCAGTTGCTAAATGAAGTGGACTCCAGGACATCTTTCTCTTCTGCTGAGCAGAAGTTGTAATGCACAGGCTACTCAGTGTGTGTGGCTGTCAGTCTAAATATACACCCTAGACATTCTGTATTCTCCCTCAGTCTGACACAGCGCTTGTTCTCAGGTGCCTCCCTTTTGGCTTATCTAGGCCCTTATGGCAACAGAGACATTCAGCCCTTATTCTTTAGATACAGAGGCAAGGGTGGCTATCCTCAAGCAATGATGCCACCTTCGGCAATTGACCGCAAAGATGAACTTCATTGTGTTCTCATTTTTCTTGTCCTGTTTTCTCCTTTAGTGAAGTACAGTTGCCATGCAATAAATTGTACCCATTGTGAGAGTACAAACTGATGAGTTTCTGACATGAATACTGTCATGTAATCACCACCATAATCAAGATACAGAACGCTGCCTCTGGCCAGGGTTGCCTTGAGCCCCCTGTACAGTCAATTCTTCGACTGCCACCCCAAATAATCACTTTGTTTTTTCTGACATGTTGATTAATTCGCCTTTTCTAAACTTTGAAGTAAATCCTATAGTGTGTTTAAAATAAAAAAGCAATGATGGCTTATTACATCAATAACATTGCATACTGCCTGGCACAGAGTAGGCATTTGAAACACAAATCCTGAATATATGAAGGATTAGGATCCAGAACTGTTTTTTAAAAAAAGCCAGGAGGCACTTGGGTGGCTCAGTCGGTTGGGCATCCAGCTCTTGATATGGGCTCAGCTCATTCTCGGTTCGTGAGATTGAGCCCTGTGTGGGGCTCTTTACTGATGACACGGAACCTGCTTGGGATTCTCTCCCTCTCTCTGTGCCCCTCCCTCACTGTCCCTCTTCTGCTCATGCTCTCTCTCTCTCTCTCAAAAAAAAAATAAAGTTTTGTTTTTTTTTTTTTTTTAAGCCAGATTCTGAGACATAATCTTTTCTTGAGCTCATCAGTGCCTGATGGTCAACTCCCAGATCAAATCAGAATAAATATGTATGTGGACTTTTGAGAAAGGGATAAACAGATCTTATCTCATTCAAGCGTTCAGATTGAAACATTATTCATGATACTCCTAAATACGACCTGACTCTACAGGATCCTTAGCACTTTAAACTATGTCATCTATCCTTCAATCAGAAATTGTATGATTATCTTTCAAACATGCTTCTCCTACTTAAACATGCAAACTGTCAATGGAGATAGAAGACAGTCATACACAGAGGCAGGGTTGTGGTTGGTGGTAAGTTTTATCTTAAGGAGAGGCATGGTGGGGAATCTTTATGTCTGCGTCCATTTTCTTTCTTTCTTTTTTTAAGTTTATTTCTTTTTTACAGAGAGAGAAAGAGCATGAACAGGGGAAGAACAGAGAGAAAGGGAGAGAGAAAATCCTAAGCAGGCTCTGTGCTGTCAATGCAGAGCCCAAGGAAGGGCTTGAACTCACAACTCGTGAGATTATGACATGAGCTGAGGTCAAGAGTTGGAAGCCTGACGGGGCCACCCAACTGCCCCAAGGAGTGCCCATTTTCAGTATGTCACTCACCAGTTATCTCTGATTACAAAAATATACTCTCCCCCAAACTCCGCCTGCTACCCCAACAGCGTTTTATTTGATATGACAACAGAACCACCTGTCTGAGTTTCTCATTTCATATTTTGCATAATAAATGATTTCTACAGCAAGGGGACCATCCCAACCTTTTTGAAAAATCATTGCCAGGCACCATACGATAATTCGGGATGGATGGCATTAGAACAATTTAATTGCTATGTCTTGCTTCTTTACACTTTAGTCCTCTAGGGCATATTTTGCATTTATGTTCTGCAAATAACAGAGCATATGTTTCAATTCCCCACACTTATTTTTCCTCAAACTCATTCCCAGTGAACAGCTTCAATCTTGTCCAGGGCTTCCTTGTGAAACTCTGAAAATGCCTCTTCACAGAGGAAATGTTTGGGAGTCAGACAGTGCTATCAGAACTTTTAGTTTTCAGGGTACCTGCGGGGCTCAGCTGGTCAAGCATCCGACTCTTGGTTTTGGTTCGGGTCATGATCTTGCAGTTCATGGGTTTGAGTCCCACATCGGGCTCTGTGCTGACAGCGTGGAGCCTAACTGGGATTCTCCCTCTCCCTCTCTGCCCCTTTCCTGCTCTTTCTCTCTCTCACTCTCAAAACAAGTCAACATTTTCTTTTTTTTTTTTTTTTTTTAAGAAAAGAACTTTCAGTTTTCAACACAAGTGCTTCTTGAGTCAAAGGGGAAGAAAAAGAAAAATCTGTTTTATGATTTTATCTCACTTTCTTTGATGAACATTAAAGCCAATGAATGGGTTGATCTTGGCCCACCCTCCACATATGTGTAAACAAACACAATGATGGGAAGAGAGAGGAGGGGTGTGGGCCAACTGATTGAACCAATAACTACCTGGGGCCTCCCAAGTGCCACCTACTAGGTTAGGAAGTGAAGATAAGACAAAATGCAATTTTCTATGATTCTGATGACTATTTCCTATCCTTAGGGAGGGGTTTGCATCATTTTCTTTCTTCAGAACCCATGCTTCCAGTTTATAGATTCCTCCAAGAAGAGTGCTTGGTAAGTAGGGCTGACCAACTCCTTCTGCATTGAGGCTCCTGACTGCCAATTATGACCAGGGAGGATTAATCACACAATGACGTAATCGTTCTCCATATTTAAATGGAGATTCTTACTATGTCTTAAACCACTGACCAAAGAAGATTTCGAGAATTCCAAGTCTAGAAAAGAAAATAATGAGTAGGGCTGCATTTGAGGGCTATTTTCAAGGAAGCAACTGACGTAGGAGAACAAGACAACACTTATCAACGTAAAACATGGTGTCCAGTCACTAAGCTACCATCAGGCCAGTTAGCTGGAATGGTGGCTTCGGGCTAGTCCTCGTACAGATTTCATTTTAGAGGACAAAATGATTGATTTGGAGAGGGTGGTCAGCTGGACCTCAGGGAGAAGTCTGTCGAGGCCCCCGATGGTCCTGATTCAGTGCGGTCTGGTGGTTCTAGAACACAGATGCAGAATCCTCTTTCCTGTCAGTGGCCAACGGCGATGATTCATTGCACTACCTAACTCTTGTTGCTTAGAAATCAGAGGAGACATTACCCTCTTCTGCCAGCCAGTTAGGTCTCAGATGGAAACTAATCCATTGATAGGATGTCATGTTAAAGTGCACTGGCCTGTACACCTTAAGTAGCCTTGTCAAAACATTAAGAAACTCTCCCCTCTAACCTAAAGGAAGAAGAAAATTCTTGAGAACTAATTGTACGCATGGTATAGCCCTGGCACCAAAGTTTGCGTTCAAAAGGGCAACTCCATAATGAACCTTTATCATTGCTTGTCATAAAGTAACATCACAGCAAGGTCTATGGACACTGATACTATGTATTGGGTCAGTTAGTGTGTAAATCGAGTAGACTTCTGGAATCACAGTGTTTGTAGCTGCGACACAAGGATGGTAAACATCTTAAAAAATTTAACTTATGGGACACAATTGTGCAAATTTAAAATGCTGAAACAGATCGGAAAGACACAAACGCACACTTACCACCCACCTGTATTTGGCATGACTAAGCGTCCTCCCAAGTGGCCAAAGACACCAGTGGTCCTCAGTTCTGTCCTTGTGGGAAGTGATGATAGATTCTGGATGTAGGGTGTTTTAGTTCTGGGGTGCATCGTACTAAAGCTACGGTTGTTTCCATGGGGAAAAGTCCCGGAATGATTCTTGCCATGGTACTCAGCTCTTTCAGACACTCCCAGGGAAACCATGAATGAGCTCTGAACTTTGACTTTGATGTCGGACAAAGGGTTAAAGAGCGAAGACTCTGTCATGAGTTCTTTGTCCAGCGGGTCCTGTAGGCAGATGGGCCCGCTGTATGTTCGGCTGACCGTGAGGTCTGGTTGCATGGAGGAATTCAGAAGCAGGGGGTTACCTGGTGAAAGAAAATCGATCTGTCACTCGGAAACGAAAAGGCGTCACGGTTACCCCCTCGCCTCTGCCTCTACTGACTGCACAACCGCCTGTGAGCTTGCCAGCCGCCCTTCAGGCCCATGCTGAGTGTCTACGGCAGCTCTCACAGGCCAGTCAACAGTGACCAGAGCCTTGGAATGGGGAGCTCCAGCTCTCACAGCGGGTTCTCTGAATGCCGCTGACCACAATCACTCATTCTCCAGAGTTCCTGGCATGCCATCTTTTCAAAACAAGTATTTCTGGCACTGTGTCAGGCAACTGACTACGGTATTATTGTTTATGTGATTATTTTAACTGGCAGAGAGAAGCTTCAAGAAAAAAAAAGGAAGAAATGTTTTGCAATCCAGTTTGGAGCAAAAATAACATCTGTTCATTTTAAATGGTAAAAGGTGACACAGCACGGTGACTAGGTAGTGCTGTTTATAACCAGAGAGGCGTTGGTGACAGCCCGTCTCACGTGGAATTCTGGGCAGTTTGTGGAGCCGGGAGAGGAAATGATGTGTCCTCAGAGCAAAAGGGTCAGGGGACCATGTGGATCATATCACTCCATGTCTGAGTATATGTCACTCTGAGAGGGAAAGGAGGCACCACATGGGGACAGCGAGGCTCCGATTCTATGTGGGGAGCAGCTTAGAAGGGCTTCCTTTCTGTCTTGAAACAAATGAAAAAAAAAATCTTTACAAAACCATGAGAAATTGGACTTTCATCGGCTGGGGCTCACCGATCTTTTTCTCAGCCTAATATTAAAAAGAAATGCTGTGATATTTTCTTGTGATGAAATAATCCCATTTATTAGTGAATAATGAAATAACCCTCAGTCCCAAACCTCCCACCCATATCAGTCCGTCAATGTGACTTCTCAAATTGAAACCCAAACCATATTAAACAATTTTCCTTTGGGGGCCTGACAAAATGTTTAAAGTCTATTTTTGAAAATGTTGCAATTCCAGGCCATATTGTATTGTTTTTCCATCTTCATAATTTGTAGCAATGCCAGTAGGAAATCTATAACCCTGACTTTCCCAACCTCTTGTTCTGATGCTCGAAGAATCCAAAGTCAGAGAGGACTTTGTAGATCTAAAGGCTCCTTGATGAGGCATTTTTTTTTTTCCCCCATGCTGGAGGTTCTCATGTCAAGACACAGGCACAATCAAGGAGCTGAGCTTTTTAATGGAACTGCACTGAATTCTACAGGCATCAGCCTTGTTCTTATTTTGGTTTTCCCAGGCAAGGCAGGGGACGTAAGAACCGTGTCACAACTGAAAAGCATTCAGGTCTCAGGCCTTTCCGCTGAGACCTGAAAAATCGCATCCCTGAGGCTCATGGCTATTTTCTCTCAAACCTTCACCTTCTGAAGTTTAGCTTTTGGCCACTCTTAAAAGACCCTCCCAGCTTATGGAAAAGACCCTCCAAGTTTATGGGAAGCCAAGCAGCAAAAATATTACCTAGAGTTACACTGAAGTCTAACTTAAGGAGAAAATGCCTGATTATAAAAGTATGTACATATGATAAAAGTCCATGGTTGAAGAGAGTCGGCGTATCAGGGACAACGACCTGATCACCCCACAGTTCATTTTGGAAATCCTTTTGAAACTTCCTGGTCAACCCCATGGCCTTCTGTTTAAAAGTCTGTTCGCCTTCCTGGGGTTCCAGCTCTGTCTCTACAACAACGCGGGGTGCAAATCATCGGAGCATCAAGGTGAGGTGCATCATCACAGTGAACGTAGGATAGAGTAGAATTTGAATAAAGGATTTTTGCTTTTATCACTAGCTTTGGGATATTCTTGGTTAAAAATAAAAACAAAATGGTAAAGGAAGTTTGGAAAGGCTATATATTCTTTTCGAGAGTCACAATACATGCAAGCTCTAAGGAGACCCGCAAGATGGAGATGTGTTTGAGCTTACCCAAGTCAGCATTCTCCAAATGCTTCAGCGAGGGAACCACCCCCTCACCTGCTGCTCTATGGAACACACTGGCATCCTGTGCCAAAGTAAGAGGAAACCACTAGCTTCTGGACTGATACTTGCTACATTCGTTGAGCACCTTCCATAAACCAAGGGCTTTTAATCCTTGTCATCCCAAGTAGTTTAATCCTCACAAGAACCCTTTGAGGTGGATATTAGTATCCCCATTTTAAAGCTGTAAAAACTGAGACAGAATAATTAACTAGGTCATATAGCAATTTTGGATTCACTCTCTCTGACTTCAAAGCCTCTGTCTCACATACTACTGTCGTTCTTCTGTTTTACAATGTTATTGTCTAAGACACTGGTATCTTATTTGATGGAAAGATTTCTAGTTTCTCATGTAGTATAAAAATAAGTTCTTGGGGCACCTGGGTGACTCAGCGGGTTAAGCGTCCGACTTCGGCTCAGGTCATGACCTCGCGGTTCGTGAGTTCGAGCCCCACAGCTCAGAGCCTGCTTTGGATTCTGTGTCTCCCTCTCTCTCTCCCCCTCCCCTGATCATGCACTCTCTCTGTCCCTCAAAATATAAAGGTTAAAAAGAAAATTAAAAACAAATCCGTTCTTCATTAGATTTATTTCTAATGAAGCCAGTCAAGGGGATGTGTCCCTTTCTGAGGCCAAGCAGACTCAGCCCTGAAACTTTGGTGCCCAGAAGTGAGTGGCAAGCAGGAAAGCATTTTGTCTCTGCCAGACATTTCCCCGTTTCTCGCATGCTTGGGTTCCACTTCAGAACCCGACTGCTACTCCATCACGGCCATGCAGCGAGACTTCTTGTCCGGGGCTACTGGCGCTAGTTACATGCAATAAATAGAAATAAAGGTGACAATATCGACAGTAAGGGTCAAGGTGGAACACTTCACCCTTTCTGAAGGGAGATAGCTTCATTTTTTCTCTAAGCCTGAAACCAGAAACCACGTATGGCTCATCTCCATCTTGCAATCAGAAACGGATTTGGTTCACGTAAGAGAATTAAACGGCTCTGTTTGGAAAAGGAGTAATGCCATAGTTTGACATGACAGATTTCCTTCTCCCTCCAACAAAAGATTGCCTCCAGTGGGCAGCAGGTGAGAGTCGTTAAGGCTGGGAACTTCATCCCTCCCCTCCCTTGCTGGCTAACTGACCTATCGTATATTATCTAAAGTCCTTTTAACTTATATAAGATAGAAGTAACCCAAATAACTCCACCTAGTACATAGTATATAATACCTATGCATGGGAGGTTATAGTAAAGTGGTTGGTTTTCAGACTTGAATAATCAGCATTTTAGTTAACTAAATATCCTCAGAGCAGGCTTGTTAAAACAGAACGTTGGCTAATCTGAGATAAAATAAGGTGCTAAGTTTACTACATATCAAAGATGGAAGTGCCTCATTAAAAATGTTGTGAATGGATGGGAAACTGAGATCCATTCATTCTCATAGTAGTCAAGGACTTGGGCAGACTATGTGACCGAGCCTGGCTTCCTAATGTGTGAAGACAACTAGGTTAGCGGCTCCCAGTGCCAAGAGCTACCTTCACACAGGGCCGAAGAACACTGGGGGTCCTGTGTGAGCGTAGTCTCTATGGTCCTGAGGACGAGGTGTTGGGGGGCCCTACGCCGCTGACCTTGACGGACTGTTTTGAAGTTGAAGGTCTGGAAGCCACCTGTCAATGCAGAAGAGTCGATGACGTCCACGCCATAGTCACTCTGGCTCCGTCTATAAAGGGTGACACCAATGACCAGGACTGCAACGGCCACCACGGCAGCGCCCAAGCCCGAGTACAAAGCAATGTCGCTGGCATTCTCAATGCCTGAAAGACACAAGAGAAATCTTAAATGGCCAGCATGGGCACAGAGCCGAAGAACCACCCTGGGATACAAAATGAAATGCTATTGGATTTTTGGAGCTACTTTTCAGAGAAAATGACATATGCAGCTAGCCATAAGTTATACTCTCTTTCACACATAATCATGTTTCTAAAATACCCTGTATAAATCAGAGGGACGCTAGTCAAATATCTTGACTGCATTAGGGCAGCTTACCACATAATAAAATCTTAAAGACAATCAATTTTGCAAAGAATGTAATATTTTTCAAGTAAAAGCAGACAACTCCTTAATTTACTTGGTTTAGAAAGTCATATTTACCTGCAAAGTATTTTTTTTTTTGCATCTTATTTTTATTTGAGGGAGGACATGAGATCCACATACAATGACAAAATATGGGTGAACTGTTCTGCTTATATATGACGTGGGGCACATGCATTCACAGAGAGTGGGCTAGGGTGAGAAGGTCAGACACAGTCTAGGAGTCAAGAGAGAGAAGACCAGAGCTCACAAATAGGCATTTTAGCTTTGGCACAAATCATTCAGTTTAAGAGAACATCGACAACATCAGGTTAGCGTATTTACAATCATCATGAAAGAATTTCTGTTGTGAGATATGGAGATTTTGGTCCTAGGTGCTCCGATGTCCACGGTCAACGTTTTCCAGCACCATTAAATGCTAGACTTAATACATTTTTGCGAAAGAGGACTGGTCTCTAAAAGGGCACATGCTGTTTCTCCCATACCTCTCCTACTCCATCCTATTGAATGCATAGGCAAAGCAAAAATAAAAGCGTTAGTTTGAATTGAGAATGTGGGTGTCTTCCCAACCCCCAAGATAGGTTGTAGCTGTTTCCCAACTCGTCTGCTAGTTGTACTTTGCGTGTGGTTCGTTCCTGAAGACCTTCATCATGGCTACTGCAGTTCAGCATGAGATTGATCCAAGGCCACGCGACCCTACAAGAGGCATAATCTTGCAAAGTATGTGGAAAGAGAAGGTGGCAAGTGCCAGCTATGTTATCCATCCCCTTACAGATTATGGGGTGAGTACACATAATAGGTCCAGAGGTACTTGCTCTGTCACCCTGTATTAGGTTTAGAGGCTAAAACAGAGCTATCATATATTCACCTGGTAATTGCATGGTGCTTACTATGCATTCACTGCAGCCTAATACAGTACTTACGTTATAACACGAGTACTACTAACCAACAAAGTTGGTGGACTGTAAAATAAGGCGCCACCAAATTAAAGAGTGAACAAGGAAACCAAGCAGAACCGGTTCAGCAATAGTGCAGTAAACACACACAAATAATTCGCAAGGGAGCGAAACCATCCAAAAGAACGGTATTTGAAAGGTGAGAGGATTGTAAGACATTTTCAATAACCACAGCGGCCTAGGAGGTGTTGAGAAACAGGCTGTGACTTAGGTTTTAGTTCCAATGTCATGATGGTCCCCACGGGAGAGGGACAGGGATGGAGGCATCTGTGTGGTCGGCTCTGGCCACCCAGAACCATGTGCGTGGTGACTAGCACGGGCCCCAAAGTTCCAGTGTCTGCCTGTGTCCCACAGGGAAAGGGAGGGGCAGCTGGGCTCTCACTGATGTTCCCTCCCTCCCTCTACCCAATTCAGTTCCGTGAAGGGAGTCGCTGTGCTCAGAGCAGAGAGAACACAACACCGCAGAGGTAGCAAGCCAGGGTACCGGGAGTAGGGAGAGAACTTTGGATTGAAACCAATTAGCCTTCCCCCTCCCCACCCCCCTGCTTCCCACCAGTTCCTCGGGCACTACTGACTGATGACACTATCATTTTAAAAGGTGTATCTGGGGAGAACACACCTGCCCAGCAACCAAGCACACACAGAGAAACAGCCTGGCGGCATACTGAGTGCAGCTGCTGAGTTGGCAAAGTAGAGCCAAAGACCCCTTTCGCTTCCTGGTACTAAAAATAGGCAGGAGCCGAGGCCAGGGGGATGATCAGGGCAAAATACTTCTGGAAATGGACATCCCCAGACAGGAACATCCTGAGCCCAAACAGTAGCGGGAACCAGTTGGGTGAGTTCCTCTGTATTTCTGTCTTGTTTTCTAGGTTTCCACCCTCCTGCTACCCACACACGCAGAATCTCCCTTCTCTCAGACACAAACCCTGTCTTTAGGAAAGGACCCTACATAGGCCTTCAGACTGAGATTTAAGTGTTTGATATGGTTCAGTGCGTTTCCCAGGAATATTTGCAGAATCTATTTGACTTAAGAGAATGAAATACTGAATTATAGAATTAAAAAAAAAATGAGTATGGGGACTGTGGAGCTAGGGGGTGAGAGAGAAAGGGGAGAGACCTGTATGGAGAGCACGGCGTCCTTATAAGGCTCACCCTGGCATTTGGTGGGACAGTCTAATCTAAAAGACAAAAGTCAATCGACTCCCTACAGGAAGATAAGCAAAATGGTGTTTACTTTACAAGAACAATCTGTCCTGGGAATTAAAACCTTCAGAATCTAATAATTTCATTTATTCCACAAACATTTGTGGAGGGCCAACCATGCAATGGAAATGAGGGTGCACGGAGGAATTAACATATTCTTAGTTGTTTCTTGTCTAACGGTTCTAACGGTGGTAAAAGACAAGTGGTGAGATCCTGACAGGGAGACACAAATACTCGAAGCCACATGTATACATCTCAAGAGACATCCTTACCAACAGCTCAAACCCTTCCAAAGTTGGGCCACAGTGCTTCTTTCTTCTTTTTTTTTTTTTTTTTTTTTTTTTTTTTTTTTTTTTTTTTTTTTTGCTCTTCTATCTACTGTTTTTACTTCACCTCCTTCCTTTCTTTTTCTCACTCTGCCTCACTCTTTTCTAATCCATCCTCCAGGACAGTAGAGTGGTTTTCCCTGTAAGGATACCTGAGTGCTTATAAACATAATCAATTCACTTTTCTTGTGTGTTCAGGACTGGGTCCAGAAGAATCTGAGATTTCGTTCCATATTTGCCACCACAATTTCATGGGAGAAGGGAGGACGCTGGGTGTAAGCCTGTCCGTGAGCACGCAGGCACCTAGGGGGAGCCGCTGCAGAGTCACTGCATACACGCGTGCGCACAGTGATCACTTGTCCAAACGTTAGAAGCCACCACTGGTCCTTCCCAGGGGAGTCGTTCTAAGGACATGACCGCGTGGTGCAGGCACTACCCAGGCCCTGATGGCTTTCTCCGTGTCCATTTCAATGCTCATGCTCCACTCTGCGGCACTGCCTCACACCCCAAATTCAACTGTAATTTAACTGCCAGATGGATGCCTGTTAGTGAATAGCCCTGTATGACAGGTCATTGTAAAATAAACCCTTGGTCGCGTGCCAGCTCAAGGTCCCCCACCTTCAAGAAGGTAACCCTGTCCAGGGGCGCCCGGGTGGCTTAGTCGGTTAAGCATCTGACTCTTGATTTCAGCTCAGGTCATGATCTCACGGTTCATGAGTTTGAGCCCCGCATCAGGCTCTGGATGACAGTGCAGAGCCTGCTTGGGATTCTCTCTCCCTCTTTCTCTGTTCCTCCTCCACTTGTGCTCTCTCTCTCTCAAAATAAACAAACTTAAAAAAAAAAAAAATAAAAGTAAACAAAACCAAACCAAACCCCTGTCCTTGCCAATCCAGCCAACCCTCCCAACCACGATCTTCTAAACTCCCAGATCACTTAGGGTTCCTAGAACTCAGTTTGGATCATTCTTTTTATTGTTTAATTATCTGAGCGCCAATGCATTCTCCCTAACTGCTTTAAACACTTCAAAAGCAGTAATATCTCCATAATTTCCCACAGAAATCCGCACACCATTGCACCTATTTATGATCGCTCGCCTGGTCTCCAACTGTGGGGAGACAAGTATTAAAGAAATCACAGTCTGAGGTTGATTACAGAGTTCTTGCTGCAAGGACTCGCTTTATGTTAACACACATATATGTTTATACCTGTCCGCTGGCTCCCATACACACATGTGTTGCTGGTTTGTTTGCTCCAAGTTAATTTGAACAAAAGCACTGATAACCCCATGACTGATAATGCTATTCTGCTTTCTGTGGGCACAGGTCTTTGTTTCACAGACGAAGCTTTACAGATCAATGTGTTATTGATGTCTTTCCTGTGTTTTCATCCCTATTTTCCTTGAACCGAGAGTCACAAAAGCTCTAGGTAAGCATGGAAGAACGCAAGGTGAGGTACAAAACAAACAAACAAAAAACTGTTGCATAAAATCTCCAGCTAGAGCTGACGGAGAAATTTCTTGTATTCCAAATTACTAACGAACTACTGAGGAATACGTTCATTGCTGGAAAGGAGTGTAGGATATCTGCAGAGACAGTCTGCACAGATTAATAGAGCTCTGTGGAAATTAGGACCCCGGAGAGGAAATGTTTATGGGTTCCCTTGGCCCACAGAAGGCAGAGCTGTAAAGTGACTGGAGGTGATCTTTAATGCGGAGAGGGTTGTCACAAGAGGAGAGCAGGTCTATGGTAGGAACTCAATGACTCTTCCTTTACGATGACGCTAGTAACCAACTCTTTGCCATCTCTAACAAGGACTGAAAAGGAGGATGTGGCCTTTTATGACAGCCATTGGGACTCTGGTTAGATATTAAAATGACCTTTTCTACAATGAGGGTTGTTAAAAAAAAAAAAAAAGCTTGTAGTTCTGAGGGAGATTGTGACACTTCCTTTCAGAAAGTCTCCCTCTAAAAAAAAAAAAAAAAAAAAAACAAAAGAGAAGAAGCAGCATAACTTTACAATAGTCTGCAGTAATTTTATTTATTTTTGGTCAAAGCTGGTGAGATGGTCTAAATAGCCTTTCACAGCCCCTTTGAATTTCGTAGTGCAAGGGACAGGGATCAATAAGTTCGATGTCTTTATGAATTGTAATCACACCTAGTTGTTGCGAGGAACTGATGTCCCCAAAGGACTAAATACAAGGGCTGTTTACATGGTTTGCCTTTCTCTCTTCACATGATTCCCCTCAGAAAGACCGATTCTTGCCACTAATTATGGGAATATAACTCAAGTCTCATGTTATGAGATTAACTATATTATCACATTGAAATCTATCTTATAGGATCAGATAGCTACAGAAAATTAACAAAGGAGCATAGCAAATGCCTTTCTAACACAGAATATTCTATCTCCTATTAAATACTGCAGAACAGCCATTGCTACCCCTTCAGGAGAAAAACCAATAACTTGAATGGACATATACTAGAGAGAGTGAATTTCTAAGGAATCCACACAATCAAAATTCACACAGAGGCCTAGGAGAGACAAAACAAATGGAAGGCTAAAGAAGCTGTTGCTGTGCTGAACTCCCATAGACAGCCAGTACCCGGCCATCTCAGGACCTGCCCCTGGCCCCTTGCACAGGCGGTGTTGTGGATACAGACTCACGTGCCAAAATATTTAATTAGATGTTGAAATACAATATAATAGAAGATACTGTTTATACTTGCAGTCATTGAGAAGCAACTTTTTTTTTAATACCACATCAAAAAATAGCTTTTGGATGGTCAGCCGTGGCCAACCATGGTGAACAATTCCAACTACATTTGCAGTGCTTGGGGTCTTACAACCCCGTAACCCATCAACACCTCAGCTTTTCTAATCTCCTATCAAAAACCTCATTATTGTTACTGTGATTGTTGATTTACTGTTGTAATGAAGGACAAAAGTAGCAAATTTTTGAATAGTGCTTACTACGTGCCAGGCGCTGTTCTAGTTCAACGGCAGCCCTTCTTCTCAC